TTTTTTGAATTAAAATAATAAAAAAATGTAATTAAAAATCATAAAAATAAAATAAAAATTTCATAAATTCATGTAACTACAGCAGGAGCCAAATGGGATAATTTTCGTGATTTTTCGAATATATTTTGATATTTTTCTCTATTTATTATCTATTTTACTGTATTTCTTGAATTAAAATAATAAAAAAATATAAATAAAAACCAGAAAAATAAAATAAAATTTCAAGAACTCTTGAATAATCAACAGGAACTAATTGGCATAACTTTCGTGATTTTTAAAATATATTTCGATATTTTTCTCTATTTATTATCTATTTTATTGTATTTTTTTGAATTAAAATAATAAAAAATATAATTACAAACCAGAAAAATAAAAAAAAAATTCAACAATTATTGTAATATCAACAGGAACTATTTGGCATAATTTTCGTGATTTTTAAAATGTATATTGATATTTTTCTCTATTTATTTGGTAATTAAAAATATTTTCGAATGAAAAAAATAAATAAAAATAATTACAAGTCGGAAAAATAAAATTCCAGTTTCTACGGGTAGATAATAATATAATTAATGTTAGAAAAAAATTTGGTTAAAAAATAAGTTGAATAAGATATAAAATATTGAGAAATAAAAAAGTTGCTTCCCTCGGCATTTTCAATGTCTAGTGGTCATTTGGCTGATTTTGTCCATTTCACTACTATAGGGGGGGAGGTGTCCAAGGAGGGTGCTAGGCCAAGGTGCTAGCAACTTTGCCCAAGGTGCTAGCAACTTGGGCAAAGTTGCTAGCAACTTTGGCAAAACTTTGGCAAAAGAGGGCCTGCCGCGCCCCCCTGCGGCAGGCAGGAATGGTGGGCCAGTGGTGGCGGGCGGGCGGCGGCGGGCGGCACCACCACCCAACGCCGGCGGCGCTCCGGCGGCGGCGGCGGCGGTCGGTCGGAAAAAAAAAAAATTTTTTTTTTTTTTTTTCCAGTCCCTTTCGGAAGAGGCCCGATAAAGAAAGATGCCGGATAAAGAAAGATGCCCGAATTAAGAAAGATGCCGAATAAAGAAGGTTGCTTGTCGCAAAAAAGAAGTTGGCTTGTCGGTAATCAAGATGAGGCCGGTGCGGTGCTTCGGCGAAGCCCGGCAACATGCATTCTTACGGGTTGGTATGGTATGATAATTTGTGCTTGTCCGACCATCATTGGGTGGAGTTCTTTCTCAATAGCCCCCAATAGGCGATTGGAGTGTCAAACGGCTGTGTTGCGTTGTGGGATGGCTCTCATCCGAAAATGGTGTGGATAGTACGAGTTATGCTTCGAAAACCACTCTGTCGAGGAAGTGAGTTGTCCTTCGGGCAATGCTGTTGGTTTGCACGTTGCCTATTGGGAAAGGTTGTCTCGCTCGTTTCTCTACTCCGGTGATGCATGATGGGCATGATTATTTGTGGCTCTCGAGCGAATCGGTGCTAGTAGGTGATGGGAATATAGGCGATGCGTTGCTATACGGCAGTCGGTGCTTCGTGGGATGGCTCTCATTCGAAAATGGTGTGGGTAGTACGAGTTATGCTTCGAACCCCGCTCTGTCGAGAAAGTGAGTTGTCCTTCGGGCAGCGGCTGTTGGTTGGCATGGTTGCCTGAATGTTGCGGTGCTCATTGGAAGTTTCGCTCGAGCCACTACTCAAGGTTGGATATTCACGAATGCATGTTGTCGGTGCCCGTTGGAATGTTTCGCTCGGACTCACTCGGTGATGGAATGTTCCTCGGAATAAGACCACATAAGTGGGTGGTGGTGCAAATAAGACCACATAAGTGGGTGGCGGTGCAAATAAGACCGCACAAGTGGGTGGTGGTGCAAATAAGTGGGTGGTGGTGAACACCGCAAAGAAAAAGTGGGCTTGCATCGTGCTCGACGGGGCATATGCTCGGGTGGGCTTGTTGTTGTTTGTCCAGTGCTGTGCTCTTGCATTGCTTTTGGTTGGACAACGATGCGCCTTCTCGGGCATTGCGTACGGCAGGGCGCGTGAGTGGTGCTTGGTGCGCACGGGCTTGTCGGATCCCTGCTCGGGCAGCGACGGCAACTTGTGCGCGCCTCTTCAATCGTCGGTTCAAGTGTGCCTTGATCGGTGTCGGTTTCCTGTGCTGCGTACCTATCGTGTTGGTATCGTGTCGGTTAAAAGCCTCGTTTCGTCTTGCGTTGCATCCTTTTCAGGGTGCGGCGTGGGATGGACCATGAAGCATCCGTCGTGTTCCACATCCCAGACGTAACTGTCCCCGGGTTGTTGGCGCACGGCGGCACGCTCGATCTCTCGGATGCGGAAAATTGAGTGGGTACGAGGCGTTGGCCCTCTATTTACCCCAAGAAAATGCGTTTCACGCTCTATGCGAACGACGACCGTCGCCGTCGCGATCGAGTCCTTGCGGCTTGTATCGCGCGGTGCCGGTGTCGGTAAGGAATGCTACCTGGTTGATCCTGCCAGTAGTCATATGCTTGTCTCAAAGATTAAGCCATGCATGTGTAAG